ATGAGTCGTCTTAAAGGGCGCAATTAAAAAATCTTAATACTCAACTAACAAACTTACATTACATAATACTCAAAGCTTAATACTCAAAATTAAGATGTGAGATGAGTCAATCATCAAAGCTTAATACTCAACTAACAAACTTACATTACATAATACCACCATAAAATGTCATGAAGCCAAAATAACATAACACTAAAACAGTATCCCGAACTAATATAACACAACACTAAATTAAATCCCAAAGGAAATGTTCAATTCCCAACCCATTCCTCAATGAACGCAATAAGGCAACAAAACAACAAAATCATGAAGATCAGTTGTCTCAATAATTTTTTGCCTCAACTCTACTATCATCAATGTATCCTCAACAACAAAAGCTTCTAAATCGGCCACCTTCTTCATCAAAATGCTTCTTTCAAACTAAAGAGCCTCCAATCTTTCCCTCAACTCTATTGTCGTTTCAACATCAAGAACAACAGAAGCCTCAAAATCAGTTATCTTCTTCAACAACTGATCACGGCCAACTATGCCTCCTAAGAGGTCTAGAGGTTGTTGCAAATATAATTCGATTTACAAGTCCGTAGTCGAATTCCACAAGGAATTAACCTAATAATCACAACCATTAGTTTCACAAGAATTCAAGTAATCAACCTTCAGAAATATTAAATAATATTTTGAGTGTTTACTAACTAAGGGAAAGGTAATTAAAAAACTGTAATTTTAAAACTAACAAGGCAAATGTTGTAGACAAGATTGGAAAGGTCTAGGGTTACGATTTTTCCTATCGTCGAAATTCTCCCCGCCACGTCTCATATAAATTCGTCTAGATATTCTCTACCGATCGTGAGCAATTTAGGTGTCATAATTCTCTTCCGAACAAATACAATAATTTACTAGACGTATTCTTCTTAACTACGCTATCTGGTACTACTTCACCGCTCACTAAGATAGCACCAAGGTTTCGTTATTCCTAATAGCACCTTTAAACCCTCCGTATTGATTCCTAATATACGTTAGGAGTGATGTTGGCCAACAACTACCCTAAATATGTACCATTTTTCAAGCAATACATACTAAATAAGCACAGTCAATCGGGAGCCCTTCAATCAACCACAATAAACAGTTGAACATGTAGAGAAAAGTAAATGGCAAATTCATATTAAACGCAGTGGAAAAGTCATCCTTCAAGAGGTTCCATCAAACCCTAAATAAGAATTTAGCTACTCATAATTGTTTGCACAAATACAAGATTAGAATTCATAACAATGGAAAATTAGGAAGAAAGAGAAAACAAATGTGAAGTTGAATCCTTCTCCTTGCTCCAGGCGTGTTCTTGCCTCTCCCAAGTCTTCTCTCCCTTCAAAAAGTGGCTAACTCTCATATTTATATGGTTTAGGGTTGAGTTGGGATGAATTTTTCTTCTCCTAATTCGGATTGGAAAAGTTAAATTTTCTGCTCTGGTCCCGGTCTGGCGAAGTGAACCTAGCTTCGATGTCCGGGACTTTCCTAGTTTCTTTTACTCCGGTCCCGGTTTGGTGAAGTGAACCTCGCTTAATTGTCCGGGACTTTTCTCTTTCGCTCTTTTTTCTTCAATTGTTCTCCCATTTGATCCTTTTCTGTGCAAGTATATTCCTACACATAAAAAATACGTAATGAGCATATTTTTACTTCAAAAGCGATGTGAACTCCCGCAACTCACATACGAAATAACACACAAACACACTCAAAATTTATACTTTTTATTATTTATCACCACCCACACTTAAAGTTTTGCTCGTTCTCGAGCAACTTAAAATTAAGCACATAAGCAAGAAACACCTTTCAAAACATACTCAGTTTATATCAACACTTAAGAGCCAAATATTTGCACTCTTCATACCTTTACTCAAGTTTTAAACTCATGCCAAGATCATTTAAAATATTCATGTGGCCCTTTCTAACATTCTTGCCTCAAAATTTGACTCTAATGCATTCCACACTATGACTCGCTCTTTGTGCCTACTCAAAAATTAAGGTCTCTACTAATCCTTTGCAAATCTTGTGCCCTCACCAACAAACCATAAAGAGAAAGTATTCCATGCACTCAAATATAAGTTCAAGTATAATTTAAGGACTCTTTAATTGGAAAAATTTTCTCACTCTCACAAATAAACTCTTATGCTACCCAAGTTCGTACAATAGGCTCGCTAGTAGTGTAAGTCTGTACTTATTTAAGCTTGCAAAGTCTAGGATCAAGTAGGACTTTATAGGTTGTAATGTAGACTAATGGACGAGTATGATATATTTGATAAAATAATGACTAACCCTCCTAAGCACTTTAATACACTACACTTCTCTTTTAAGCACCTTCCTGTCTTGACCAATTCGATGTCTTTCCATGAAACCATGCACATTTAAGCCCTTCTTCATTAAGCACATCAACATATAGATATTTACTAGTCCAGACAAATATATGAGAGGTGTTATTCATTTTCTCTCTCTTTTTCACTCTTTTTAATTTGGTATTTTCGGCAACTACCTTTTTTTGTTTATATACAAGTGCACATTTTCGGCCTTTCTATGGTTCCACTCAAAAGCTACCCAATCTTCTTCTTTACTTTTCTAGCTGCTTAAGTACTTTTGGAGGTAAAGGCTAAGCAAGATTTGATTAAGAACAAAGGGGATTCAGCTTGTAATGTGGTTGCCAAAGAAAAGGTCTATAGTTTCAAAAGGGGTGACTACGGATAATATCAACACCAGTAGGCAAATAGGCTAAATGGCCAATCAAAGAAAGCCTATATGACTTCCCAAACTTCCAAGATTTAATCATTTTGCTTTGACTCACACACGGGACAAGTTCTAGACTAGCAAGGATGGCACAAAGTACACTAAAGCCTCACCTCACACAATGCACATGACTCACTTAGGACGACTCGGACTTGACTCTCGAGTTAAAGCAACTAGCACAGTCATCATAAAATTCCAGCACACAAAAATTAATCACAAGAGTCTAGAGATGAGCCTCAGTGTCAAAAGAAAGCCACACATATTGTCAAGGCATGCAATTATAGAGATCATGAAGAAAGTACTTAGTTCAAATGCTCCAGACCTAAGCCTCGATATAAAACATGTCAAAAGCACAAATTACTCAAGCTCCTTCCAATTCCATTGTCAGTTCAACAAGAAAACAAAATAAAAGAGAAACAAAAAAAATCTTTTTGTATTTTCTCTAGACTTTAGTCCCTCAAGAAAACTGTATAGGTAATCCATCGTCGGAAAAAGTCCACAATTCTCTAGAAAGTTTGAAAAAAAATCTCCCTAAAACTATCCGGTTCAATAAAATGGCATCCTCGGGAAAGAACCATGGTATAAATAAAATCCAGGATTAAGCCACTACAAAAAAACTACTACAATTATACAATTACAATGGCCATAAGAGTGATCATGGAATTCAAAATGTATCACTAGCAATTAGGCACATTCCACAAAAACTAAAGTCTGACACCCCACCCCACACTGAAGAATGTGCATTGTCCTCAGTTGCACAATATCACAAAATACAAATAAGTAAGATCAAAAGTAGAGTGTGTGTCAGAAACTCCCTCAAAATCACTCGGGTTGTGGTGAGGACCGGTAGTGACCCTCGATCTCTGCAGTAGTGCCATAAGTAGCACTCAAATTAACTGTCTAGAGCCCCTCTGCATCAATATGTAACTTGATCGTTATTCCATATTAATTAGCACAATTCAACAACATGTAGGTAAGGCAACACCCCAGTCATGCCTAAGTTGGCCGCTTGATACTTATCTTAGAAACAACACAATTGAAGTTCATAAGACACCCAACGGCCACCCCACACTTAATATATATTCGTATTGCCAATAGAGGTAGGTTAACTACTCAAACTTCACTAAACCTCACCAAAAATATTTATTCGGGCAATTCATCGAACACTCTATGTGCACAATTTTTGTTAAGCTTCATTTGGTTCAATTTGCCAATAATGACATGACCTTAGGGAACGAGAGAGTTTTTTTTATTATTTTATAAACTAACTAGAAAATAGAAAAATACAAAGTAAAAAAAATTAAGAAAATACCTGGAGTCGCACCAGGACCGCGCGACCTAGAGACACACCCTTTTACTTGTTCAGTTGTTGCCAGTCCCGGACTCGCGAAGCCATGGGCACTTCGCTGTCCACTCTATATTTGTTTTTCTCTCTTTTGGTCCCGGTCTCACAAAGTGAGACACACTTCATTGCCCCCAAAAGTTAGCTCCTCAACATTCTTGGTCTCGGTCTCGCGAAGCGAACTGCGCTTCGCTGATGCCTCCCCACATTCTCTTTTTTTTTTTTTCATTTTTTTGAAAATAAATGATAACTAGAAAAAATAAGAAAATTGGGTTGTCTCCCAACAAGCGCTTGATTTAACATCGTGGTACAATGAATTATAACATTACAATGGGTTGCCTCCCACAAAGCGCCTGATTTATTATCGCGGAACGACTCGGGCCATCCCTTATCAAGGATCTTTCAAGTACATGGTCGATATCACTTTATCTTCCTAAATCATGCCTTAATAATATTTCAGCCTTTGCCCGTTAACTTTGAACTTGTAGAAGCCATCTTGTGATGTAATTTCTACGGCTCCAGCGGGATGTATCTCTACCACACAAAATGGTCCTGACCATCTTGACTTCAACTTTCCCGGAAACAACTTCAATCTTGAATTGTATAGCAATACCACTCTCCAGGTTTAAAATTTCTCTCAAGAATATTTTTGTCATGCATCATCTTCATTTTCTCTTTATATAGCCTTGTACTCTTAAATTCATGGTAGCGGAATTCATCAAGCTCATGACTCTGTGACTCTACGTGTAGCCGTTATTTCCATGTCGAGATTCAACTACCTTAATGCCCACAAAGCTCTATGCTCCAACTCTACGGGTAAGTGACACACTTTCCCAAATACCAATTTATATGGAGACATGCCAATTGGAGTTTTAAAAGCAGTATGATAGGCCTAGAGTGCATCGTCTAACTTTTTCGTCCAATCTGTTCTTGTAGCATTCACAATCTTTGTCAACACACTCTTTATGTCTCTATTCGACACTTCCACATGCCCGCTTGTTTGTGGATGATATGGAGTGGCAACCTTGTGGTGAACATTATATTTTTCTAACAGTTTTACGAAAGCTCGGTTGCAGAAGTGAGTGCCTCCATCACTTATTATTATCCTTGGAGTGCCAAACTGGGTGAATATATTCTTTCTCAAAAAACTAATGACTCCCATTGCATCATTTGTAGGGAGTTCCACAGTTTCCACCCATTTTGACATATAGTCTACAGGTACAAGTATGTACTTGTTTCCATATGAGCTGACAAAAGGCCCCATAAAATTGATCACCCATACATCAAACACTTCCACCTCCTGAATTGGGTTCATGGGCATCTCATGTCGGCGAGAAATATTATTGGTTTTTTGGCATTCATCATAACCCTTCACCCAGAGGTGTGCATCTTTGAACAATGTCGGCCAGTAGAATCCCGACTCCAACACTTTCGCGGTTATCCTTACTCCCCTGATATGGCCATCATATGTGGATGCATGACAAGCCTACAAAACAAAGGATTGGTTTGTCTCAGGGATACATCTCCGGATCATGTTATCAACACAAATCCTGAATAGATAAGTCTCATCCCAATAATACATGCGACAGTCATGAAATAACATTTTATTTTGAACAGAGGAAAGGTCATAATGGACAATACCGCTCGCCAGGCGCTACCTCAAGGCTCGTTGCTAATAGTTGTTCATCCGGGAATGTCTCCATAATCTCTTCCACCTTAACCTTCTTCTCTTCCCCTTCCAGCCTAGACAAGTGATCAGCTACTTGGTTCTCCGTTCCCTTTCGGTCATGGATTTCAAAGTCAAATTTTTGCACCAATATCACCTATCGAATCAGGCACGGTTTTGACTCCTTCTCAATTAGGTTCCCAATAGAAGCATGATCAGTATACACAATTACCTTCGAGTCTATCATGTATGACCTGAATTTGTCAAATGCGAACACCACTGCTAACATCTCTTTCTTGGTCAATGTGTAATTTAGTTGGGCACCACTCAAGGTTTTATTTTCATAGTAGATTGGATGCATGAGTTTATCTTTTCGCTGCCCAAGAACTGCTCCCACAACATAGTCTCTTGCATCACACATCAACTCAAAAATTTGCTCCCAGTCAAGTGCCACTATGATTGGTGCAGTCACTAGCCTCCTTTTCAATTCCTCAAAAGCTACCATGCAGTCATCAGAAAACACAAATGAGTGATCTATTTCAAGCAATTTACACAAAGGGTTAGCAATTTTAGAAAATATTTTATAAATCGCTTGTAGAAGCTGACGTGACCAAGGAAACTTCTTATGACCTTTACGGAAGTAGGTGGAGGCACATTCTCAATTACATCAACTTTAGCACGATCCACCTCAATGCGCTTACTTGACACTTGGTGTCCCAAGACTATACCTTCATGTACCATGAAATGACATTTTTTCCAGTTCAGTACTAAATTAGTCTCCATACACCTTTTTAATACTCTTTTCAAATTCATAAGAAAGTCATCGAATGAGTTTCCCACCACTGAGAAGTCATCCACGAAAACCTCCATTATGTACTCTACCATATCTGTGAAGATGGCCATCATGCACCTTTGGAATGTGGTGGGAGCATTACAAAGGCCAAACAACATTCTCCGAAAAGCATAGATACCATATGGACAGGTGAACGATGTTTTATCTCTAATTCTCCAGGGCAATAGAGATCTGGTTATACCCCGAGAATCTATGCAGGAAGCAAAAATGGGACCTTCCCGCCAATCTATCTAACATCTAATCAATGGACGACAACGGAAAATGGTCTTTTCGGGTGGCCTAGTTCAGTCTTCTGTAATCCATACAGATTCGCCATCCCATGACTGTTCTTGTTGGGATCAACTCGTTGTTCTCATTTTGCACTACAGTCATTCCACCCTTCGTTGGCACACACTGAAATGGGATGACCCAGTTACTGTCATAGATGGGAAAGATGATTCCCACATCTAACTACTTGATCACTTGTTTCTTCACCACTTCTTTCATATTGGGTTCAGCCTTCTTTGATGTTCTATAGAAGATTTGTGCCCATATTCTAGTAGAATCTTCTACATGCAAAATGTTGGGATGATACCCTTTATGTCTGCAATGGTCCACCCAATTGCAGTATTGCACTCCTTCAGAACCTGCAAAAGTTGTTCTACCTGCACATCTAACAAACCAGATGAGATAATAATAGGTAATGTCGAACTATCTCCTAAGAAAGCATACCTGAGGTAACGGTAATGGTTTTAGCTCCAATTGTGGTGGCTCTTCAATTGATGGCTTAGCAGGAGAGGTCTTTCTTTCTTATAAGTGTAAGGGCTCGAATTTGAGCTCTCGTTTCCAGTACCCTTGACCATCAAGGACCAAAACTCATTCAGCCAAGTCCTCACCATTTATCTCTTCTAAGTTCATCAGACAGGCTGCTAGAGGGTCTTTTGCATTTAGTGTCTCATCATCCTCCTCCAGAATCACATCCACAACTTCAATCAGATAGTAGTTAGCAAACTCACTGGGTCGCCGCATAGACTTCTGCACATTGAATGTTATTTCTTCATCATTTAGTCTCATCTTTAGCTCCTAATTTCACAATCAATCACACCTCTCCATGTGGCCAAGAATGGTCTTCCCAAAATTATGGGAATCTCTCCATCAACCTGGCAATCCAGAATGACAAAATCTGCCGGAAACACAAACTTTCCAACCTACACAAGTACATCATCAAGTATACCTGATGGACTTTTTACCGTTTGGTTGGCTAGCTGTAGTAACATGGATGTGGGCCTTGCTCTTACAATGACTAACCTTTTATAGATATACAATGGCATCAAGTTTATGCTTACCCCCAAATCACACAATGCTTTAGTAAAAGCATAGTTGTCTATGGTGCATGGAATTGTCAAACTTCCAGGGTTGGATAACTTTCCAGCTATTGGTCTTGTCACCATAACACTACAAATGTAGGTCAATGTCATAGTGGCCAGGTCTTGAAAATCAAACTTGCGAGACATCAAGTCCTTCATCATTTTTGCATAACCTGACATCTCTCACAAGGCATCTATCAGAGGAATGTTCACCTGAATCTGCTTCAACATCGCCATGAATTTTTTGTACTGCTCATTCTTAAAATATTTAGCCAACCTCTGCGGGAAGGGTGCTGGAGGTCGCTTCCTTCCTGTGACTTGAGTTGAATCATGCTCACACACTTTTTCTGGTACCTTTTCTTGCACTTGCTCAGTCTCCTTTGCCATCTCTTTTTATTTGCTGGTTTTCTCTTGGGCCTGTTGCATTGTTACCTTTGTTAAATCAATTGACTCATCTATCTTAAGTGGTACTGGCACAAGTGTTTCAGCTGGTTGGCTTTCACGAGAAATTTCTTACTCTAAATCAAGATCTCTCCCATTTCTCACACTCACAACCATCAGCTGCTTCAGGCCCTGCTCTTTCGAGTTAACGTGTGTGTTTGCAGGTAATGTCCCTTGAGGATGATTGTTAAGGGCCATGGATATTTTCCCAAGTTGAATCTCAATTCCCTTGATAACTGAGTCATGCGATACTATCTTTTCTTGTATTTAGTGGACCCTTTCTTCCATTTTTCTGTTGAACCCAATGAGTTGTTACAACATTCCTTTAATTTCAAACAACCCTTCATCTTATCTCGCTATCTGGTGTTGTTGAGGCTGTTGATAAGTTGGCTGCTGATTTTGCTGATTGTATCCCTGCTGCCTTTGGTAAGGCACGACTTGACTCTGTGGTCGCATAGCTCTGGGATTGTTGTTGTTATTGTACTGCTGCTTGCTGGTCTGTACTGTTGATTCTACTGTCCCCAATTCTGACCACCTTGCCTTTGGCCTCCATAATTTCCCACATAGTTCATATTCTCTTGATAGTTCTGATTGTCACTCTTACCACTCCATGAGCATACATATGGTTGGTTAATGCATGGTGTGCATACTCCTCCATTTGTCGTGTCAACTATGTGCACCTGTTTTTTTCCCAACTCATCAATCTTTTGGTGAGGATACTCAATTGTGTCAACATATTATCCATATTCTCAGCCATAGAGTTGTTTGGATCTAGAGCTACTGAGTGAACTACCAGAGTGATTGTAGAGTCCCTTGTCATCCATCCTGAGTTTTAAGCCATTTTATCAAGCAAAACCTTGCACTCTCTGAATGATTTGCTCAAAAATGGTCCACATGCTGAAGCATCAACGCTGGCTTTCAAAATGTCTGCCAATCCCATGTAAAACCTTTATCCCAACATCTGATCCGAAATGCCATGGTATGGACACTTAACCAACATCACTTTGAATCTCTCTCATGTCTCTTGCAATGTTTCAGCTCGTTTCTACCTAAAGCTCAATATCTCATCAACTTGCTTGGCAGTCTTATTAGGTGGGTAGAATTTGTTCAAAAACTACTTGACTAATTCCTCCCGATTAGTGATAGAGTTTATGGGGAGTGAAGTAAGCCAAATCTGAGCCTCTCCTGTCACTGAGAATGGAAAAAACCACAACCTTATTGCTTCCGATGTCACGTTCGGTTGCCTTTGCGTGACACAAATCACTAGAAATTTTTTCAGATGCTACTGGGGATCTTCAATGTAAGGCCTCGAGAACAGTCCCTTGTTCTGCAATAGATGTAGCCTGTTGTTTGTGATTTGAAGTGGCTCTGCTTGTATTTGAGGGACTGCAATTGCGATTGCCAGATTTTCAACAGCGGGTTGAGCCCAATCATACAAGGCTGCTTCTCGCTCAAGAGGTGTCACACCCTGATTGTTCGGTTAATTTGCAGTGTTTCTATTATTTTGATTTCCATTGGTGTCTCCCATGTCTAGTTTGATTTGTTCTGTTGAGTTCTGCTGTCGTTTGTCTTTCTTGTTTGCTCGATTTAGTACCTTCAAAGCTTTCTCAGGGTCCGGTAATGCTTCGTATAATTCACCAGTTCTTGAGGAGTTTCTAGGCATGCACCTATAACACACAAGACTACAAACGTTATAGTTTCAATATATGAATTTTAAGTCGAGAAAGCTGGCTACACTATGAATTCTAGCGATTCTTCTAGACGTAATTAATAACACTGTTAATTCCCCGACAACAAAGCCAAAATTTGATCACGCCCAACTATGCCTCCTAAGAGGTCTAGTGGTCATTACAAATATAATTCGGTTTATAAGTTCGGAGTCGAATACAACAGGGAATTAACCTACTAATCACAACCACTAGTTTCGCAAAAATTCAAGTAATCAACCTTTAGAAATATTAAAAAATGGTTTGAGTATTTACTAACTATATGAAAGGTAATTAAAAAGCTATAATTTTAATACTAACAAGGCAAATGTTGTAGACAAGATTGGAAAGGTCTAGGGTTATAATTTTCCCTCTTGTCGGAATCCTCCCGCCATGTCTCCTATAAATTCTCCTAGATATTCTCTATCGATCGTGAGTACTTTAAGTGTCGTAATTATCTTTTGATCAAATACAATAATTTACTAGATATATTCTTCCGAACTACGCTAGCTGACACTAGTTTACCGCTCACTAAGACCGCACCAAGGTTTCTTTATTCCTAATCCCACCTTTAAACCCTATGTATTGATTCCTCATATACGTTAGGAGTGATGTTGGTCAATAACTACCTAAAAGTGTTCCCTTTTCCAAGCAATACACACTAAATAAGCACAGTCAATTGAGAGCCCTTCAATCAACCACAATAATCATATAGTTGAACAAATAAAGAAAAGTAAATGGAAAATTCATATTAAATGCAGTGGAAAAGTCATCATTCAAGAGTTTCCATCAAACCCTAGATGGGAATTTAGCTAATCATAATTGTTTGCACAAATACAAGATTAGAATTCATAACAATGGAAAATTAGGAAGAAAGACGAAAGTTGAACCCTTCTCCTTGCTCCAGGCGTGTTCTTGCCTCTCCCAAGTCTTATATCCTTTCTAAAAGTGGCTAACTCTCATATTTGTATGGTTTAGGGTTGAGTTGGGCTGGATTTTTCTTCTCCTAATTCAGATTTAAAAAGTTAAATTTTTCTGCTCCGGTCTCAGTCTGGCGAAGTGAACCTCGCTTCGCTGTCTGAGACTTTCCTGGTTTCTTTTTTTCCGGTCCTGGTCTGGCGAAGTGAACCTCGCTTCGTTATCTTGGACTTTTCTCTTCATCTCTTTTTTCACCAATTTTTCTCCCATTTGATCCTTTTTCGCGCAAGTTTATTCCTACACATAAGAAACACATAATGAGCATATTTTCACTTCAAAAACGATGTGAATTCCCGCAATTCTCATACGAAAATAACACACAAACACACTCAAAACATGCACTTTTCACCATTTATCAACAACCTATTCTTTTCAAGTTCAAGAGCATCCAATTTTCTTCTTTGACTGATGATGACAATTACAACTCTAGGGAGAAATTCTTTATCCTGCCATTCCCAATAACCACAACTTTGTTTCTGCCCGAAAAAAATTAACACAATAAAATTACCCACAATTCTATTCAAATAAAACCCTAAATCTTGAAAAGTCATAGAAAACTTATGAATAAATAATGAAAAATAAACTTACTTCGGGCATTGGACACTTGAAAAAACGTCTACCAACATTCATGGGAGTCGTCACCGTAAAATTATTCGCTACAAGTCCACGACCACACCTTCTCTTTGACCCAATTGAGCCACTCGACCCCTCAAGACATATTTTGCACACCCACAGTGGAAAAGTAAGGAAGATAAACGGAAAATTTTCCTTGACCCGTTAAAATTGATTTGGAAACCCTAATGTTACTAGTTGGGTATTTTGGTGGAGAGAATTTAGTCGACTGATATGAAGTAGTGTTTGGGATTTTGGGGAATAAATGGGGTTGGATTAGTTGGGGTAACTGGGGTTAGAGTGGGAAGTGAGGTAGAGTTATGTAGTGGTTTAGGTAGTTGACACGTATCAAACCAGGTGTTAAAAAACTAGATTTCTATTTTTTAATACTATGAGTTGTCCGTTAATGAACAATGGCATAGATAGGCTAGTAGTGTAACGTCCATGGCACCATTAGGCCCAATTATTCACGAGTGGCATGGATAAGCCATTTCGTTAAGTACAATGGCATATTTAGGCATTTTCTCTTCTTTTAAATGAGTGAACGTCATTGGTACTTCAAGACTGATCTTCGAAAGCCAGTTGCAACACGTCTTGAAGTAGGATGCATTTGTAAGAATTTAAATTCGTAAAATAATTTGGACCATATTAAATTCAAGACATTAGTCCAAATAAATGTCGTGGCTAGTAAATTTGACTAATTATTTAAATCCAATATATATGTATTGGGCTAGTCCATTTAATTGGACTACAAATTAAATAATAAGCCTGCTTCATTAGCCCAAGGTCCAAATGGATATTAGCCTATCTTAAAGTCCAGGCTCATGCCACGTATCAAGTGATGTGGCGATCCAGGTCAAAGGAACGAGTCAATAAAATCATGTCACGGGTCAAATGATGTGGCAATCCAAGTCAAATAAGTGAGCCAATGAAATCATGTCATGAGTCAAGAAAGGGTAGCATACCAAGTCAAATCAACAACAAGTAGAGTTGTCCAAGTGTCTAGATGGTATAGGTCAGTTCAAACGGACCAATCAAATCGCAGAGCCACACCACTCCCTACAACTATAAATAGAAGTCCCCATAAAGCTAGAAGACACTAGAATTAAGAACAAGAAGCAAGCAAAGAGCTCGTGAATCAAATGTTGCAGATTTCTCTACAAGCTACAAGTTCAAGCACTCAAGCTACAATCAAGTTCAAGATGAAAAACGAAGCCAAATCAAATACCAAGGCGTTCGAGATCAAATTACTTGTTCGTGATCAAATCCAAATTCAAGTTCAAGAAGGAGATTCAAGACCAAGCTTTACAAGCAGTTGAATCAAAATCAAAATTAGGCTCACTAAGATACTTTACATTCTTGAAGAATCATAAGAATACCATAGAGATTGTAACATGCAATATTTATTGAAATCAAATACTACATTTGTTACGCAATTTTCTAGTCTTTATTATTTATTGTTATCGCAAGCAATATGCAAATGTGATTTTGCTATACTCAACTGCGACTTATACATCGCAATCCAAAAATGCGGACTTATAAATCAAATGCCCAAATGCGACTTCTAAAGAGTAAAACATCATTAGACTTACAAATCGTAACGACCAAATGCGACTTAATAAGGAGGAATCGCTTATCATTTTGTTCTTC